TGTGTGTGTGTGTGTGTGTGTGTGTGTGTGAGGCTCATACACATGTCGATATTAAGTGTAAATAACTCAGAATGAGCTGATGGACTCTTGAGTTTAATCCGAGCAGCTGCTCAGTGAGATGCAGCACAGATGCTTCTTATCTGTGATCAGTGTGTTTACCTTCAGACAGCTTTAACTTGATTTAAAACTCATAGATGTAAAAACATGGCTCAGATACTATTGGAGAACCTGGTTGGTGTCATTTGTTGCCATCAGGCTGTAAGCATGTGCTTTTTATATCAGGAGATAAACTGAGTTTAGAGCTGATCAGTGTCTTAAAATGGAACTGCAGCGCTGGCCAGTGTGAAGCTTCTGACAATAAAAAATGCACATGTGAACTTTAATTTGTGTCATACTTGTTACAGCTGGCTTTTTTCAATTTATTGGTTGCATTATTATTATTATTATTATTATTAATAATAATTAATTTAGGATTTTCAGTGGAGGGAACCCCATTGATGATGTAAGTCTCAAAAACTCACAAAGACTCACAAATATGATCCACCAGGTGTTAAGGAGTTAAAGACTTCAGCAAATGAAACAGAAACAATCAACAGTTTCTCCAGACCCCTGTCAGTGTCAGTGTATCTACAGGAAATGTTACAAAATGATGATTTGGTTAAAAATGTCTGCCAACTGACTTCTTCCTGAAGCCCTATCAGCTCGCTGATCACATGAAAACCTGCAGAAGCACTTTGGTTAACAGCAGCTCTTCTGAATGGAGCTGCTGATAGTTTTTAAGCTGATTTTACTGCTCAGGGGACGAGCTTTCATGTTCCAGAGCAACTGACATTAACTTCAACTATGGACCCGCCTCATCTGCAATAATTCAGCAGTCGTGAATGCACAAGTACAAAAGTCAGCCATTACTTTTATGTAACTCTGGGTATAATCGGCTCTGCTCACAACCTCTTGAGATTCTGAGAAGCGAAGCTGATTTAAAAAATGAGTCCAACGTCTAACATCATCACTTTTCTTTTTCTCGTGTCCTTTTTTTCCTCCAGACGTCCCACAGCAGCCTGTCTGTAAGGAGGAGGAGGAGGAGGAGGTTCTCCCTGAGCAGCAGCTCTGGAACCAGGAGAGGAGCTCCAGTGTGGAGGAACCAGAAGCTCCACAGATTAAAGAGGAAGAGGAGGAACTGTGCAGCAGTCAGGAGGGAGAGCAGCTGGGACTGAAGGAGGAGACGGATACCTTCATGGTGACTGTTGCTGAGGAAGGAGAGCACAGTGAACCAGAAGCAAACACTGACCAGCTCCCCTCTCACAGCTCTGACACTTTTATGTTTCTTCAGTCCAAATCTAAAGAAATATTTGAAGTTATTAATAATTCTATCCAGTACGAGGAAGAGAACGACCATCAGCACAGACTCATGGATATCAGCTGGAAACCCAAAATACAGCTTCACATTACAGGTATGTAAAAGTCTGAATGAAGTCACACATGAATGGGACTCATGGAGGATCCTGATCACAGCCCTGCAGGACATTTATGATTGTGAGGACTTTTTGGAGATGTGAGCTAACAAAGAGCAAACAGAGGACAGGACTGCACTGCGCTCCATTCAAACAGCAGGCGCTGAAATCCTTTAAGACAAATCAGGCCAGATTTGAGCCTTTTATCCAAACTGAGTCTGAGTTTCTTTAAGCTGATTCATTTCAAACAGCTTTATGTTTCCTGGTAAACTTGTGAGAGTTTCAAACGTTGTAAATAAAGAAAAGCATCCAGTTGTCTGAATGTAATTTTTTCACCACACAAAAAATGCTGCTACCAGATTTTCATACAAATATATTTTCCTGCTGTTTATCTGAAATAAATCTTCATTAAGTATTGCTTGCAAACACATGATTACTTAGTTATTAGGATTTGTATTTATAGTACATATGTTGTATTTGCATTTAAATTTAATATTTTAACCAAATTTCAAAATAAATGCACAAACTAATGCATTCAGTCACCCTGATCAAGTCTGTTGTTGCAGTGTGTCAGGATGCACTAAGGTGAAGCGCACACTCGCAATGTCTGACAGGAATTTTTGTTTGGTAGGCTTTTATTTTGAAGTCTATCTTTTGAGGGCAACTTCCTAAAGCCTGATTCATGGCGTGCACACATGATTATGGGCTAATGACGATCACCTGAAAGTTTATCACTGTTAGTGGGGCAAAATGAGTGCAGCATTTCACTGTATATGTTTATTTGTAGCTGGTGTGTGTGGTGGGGAATCTCTTGAATTTTATTGGTGATGGTTGGTGATTGGTGGCGATTTCAGGAGGAATATATTGAGAGCTCTGGAAAACAACGAGTCTGTTGTGCTTGTTTTTTCCATCATCTGGTCCCCTTCATGTTAACCACCGACCGCTACACAGTGCTGCTGTATTTGGCATCATTATCTTGTTTCTTGTGATTAGTTTGGACGCTCGTATTTGTAAACGTCTGTGATCATTCTGCTTCTACCATCATGAGTGAAAATGACTGAACCGTGACGCCCGAACCATCACACGTCCACCGTGCATCACAGATGAGCTTGCATGTTTAGGATAATGAGCAGAGTCACTTACTCCAAACTTTGGTCTTTCCATCACTTTGGGCAAAGATTTCTTCTTTTATCAGTCAGCACATAAAACATCGTCCCAGAGCTTTTGTGGTTCCTTTCTGTACTCCTTTGCAAATTCCAATCTGTGATTTTAATGTTGCAGTTTGGCTCTTTGAAGTTGATTTTTAATGTTTCAGACTGTTTTTAGGGAGTTCGACTATACTGCTCTCAGCATTTGTCTGTCGTCAGTTGTTGTTTTTTGGATAACCAGTTTGATGCCCGTCGCACCACACACCGCTGATTTCCTGCTTTTTCAGGACGTTCCAGATATTGGTACTGCTCACTGTTTTTGGAACCCTTGGCATGTTTTTTCCCGTAGACAGCCCTCTGGTCTTCATATTGATCTGTCCTTTTCAACTATAAAAACGTTCACAGGTGAGAGTCAAAGATTAAACTGAGAGTAGATATTCAGGACTATTTAAGGATTAAACGGTCGGTCTTGTACGGCACACCTGGATAATGAGAAACGTCTGTCTTCTGTCATATTCTAAGACTTAAGCTCACTCGATAAATTGGATGTTTTAATATTATCTTATTTGATGTTCAACTTGTCCACAATTAAGTGCCAGGGAATAAAAACTAAATACAATAAAATAAAAACTGATCTGTCATAATCATCTTTCACATCTGAAATCATAAGTACACGGCTATGGCGTTATTTTTGTGCCACTATTCTGAGTGCACGTAAAAAAATTTGAGCGCATGTAAAAAAAAAAATTGCAGGTGCAAGTGTTGCATTTTGAGGAGAAATTTATTTTGAGCCAAGAAAAGAGAAATTTGAGTGAACAAAATTCATTGCTGCGTGCAAAAAATGTATTTCAGTGTTTGCTATTATCCACACACACACACACACACACACACACA